AGAGAGAGAGAGAGAGAGAGAGAGAGAGAGAGAGAGAGAGAGAGAGAGAGAGAGAGAGAGAGAGAGAGAGAGAGAGAATACAGACAGAGACAGAGGCAGAGCCAGGAAGAAAGAAAAACAGAAATACAGCGAGGGCGGCGAATGAGAAAACGGGAGAAATCAAAAGAGAGAAGACAGAGACAATAAGTGAGAAGGGGAGGGAGGGAAAGGGAAGAGAGTAAGAGAAAGGAAGAGTATGAGAGAGGAGACAGAGCGAGAGAGAGATAGAGACAGACAGACAGACAGACAGAGAGAGCGAGAGAGAAAGAGAGAGAGAGAGACAGACAGAGAGAGAAAGACAGAGACAGAGAAAGAGAAAGACAGAGACAGAGACAGAGACAGAGACAGAGACAAAGACAGAGAGAGAGAGCGAGACAGAGACAGCAACAGAAAAAGAATGTATGTGTGTATGTATTATAGCTCTACTATATAGTAGCCTATAAACCAGGGGGCTCAGTACCACGGGCCCAACGATTAACATGTCGACACCGACCTGGTACTTGGTGTCGACCTTGGTGCCGTTGACGGAGAAGGTGAGCATGCCGCTGGTGGTGTCCACGTAGCAGCCGATGACGAGGCCCTGCGACACCTTACGACCAGACGCCTGCGCCTCCATCTGCATCGCCTTCGCGTTGACCATGTAGCAGTTCTGACGGAGGCACCTGCCAGACAGATGTATGGGTAGGTCCCATTTTACGACAGGGTTAGTTTCCAGTAAAGCAGGGTCGTAAGATAAGACCAAATTATAATGCAATTCAATTCCATCATTCCACCCCCAATGCACCACGAAAATCAAAAGAAGCGCATATTGCATGTTTGGACTCACAGGAGTTTGTAACAGGCCTTACTTGATCGTTTCATCATTCTTGAGGATTGAATTAAATATGATAAATAAGCATTTTGATCATGCCTTACACAGGTTGTTTATAGTCTTCAAAGCCAATTTTGAATATTCAATTTCAAGAAAATTTGGCATATTCTAATGCTATATTATATTAGCTTACTCTAGCATTTTTTGTATTGAATTATGCAGACATCAAATGTTCGATGATGGAAATAAACTAAATATAGTACGTAAGTAATAATAAGTTAAAAAAGTACAAATATTTCACCTACCCCTGCTTTTCGGCAGTCTCAGGCTGTGTGAACATCACCTGTCGAACCATGTCCGATGTGAATGACTTCGAGCAGTAGTGGTAGTACGGTTGCACCCAGCCAACGTTGACGTGCACCGGGTCCTGACCAGGGAAGATTCGTACCTGCACACGGACACAATCATGCATGTCAATAATGCCAAGAGACTGGTAATATTAACACAACGTTACTGACGGTGGTGTGTAGGAATTGTATGCTTCATTACACATTATATAAATACGTGCCTAGATTATATAGTTGTAGCATGATTTATTATGTATTAGTACATGCAGGTATTGTAATGCTCAATAACATTGTAAATATATGTATTGGCATCCTTATAATATATTAGTATAGGCAGGAACATTTTTACACATATTATTTGTGTTGTGCGTGCGTGCGTGTTGTAACCACCAATACCTATTGTGTACATGACCTTTATTACGTTGTGTTCATGTAAACTTGTACTAATACAAATATTACGTATTTTATACATATTGTCATCTCTATAACGGTTGCAGGAGATATGAACTCATTTCCTTGCTCACGTAGTCGTGTTCCACTACTATACACACAGTAAGGAAACGCACGGTGAGAGAACACAGCTGCAGGGACACGCGCGTCGTATATTACCGCGTAGGAGTCGTCTCTATATTGTCATCTCTATTATGGCACAGGCACACATACGCGACGCACGGCCCGCGCATTGAAAATTAATCAAAAAATGGAAAATAAGATCAGTGCGTCGTTGTGCGCCCAACTTTTGTCAGGATTTGGGAGAAGCTAGCGCGTTGACAACGAATGCACAGCGTGTTGCTAGCGCGCTGCGCGTATACAGGGCGCACATGTTAAAAAATCCAACGAATGCACAGCGTGTTGCTAGCGCATGGAACGAATGGTCCGCGCATGCACCGCGCATGCACTGCGCATTCAACGCACAGCCAGCGAACGGTCAGGTCAGCAAACGAATAGGTCAGGGATATGGTGTTGTGAGGCACCCTCTAGCCATAGGACATTGAGTGATACTTGGTCCCAGAGGCAAGATGCCGCAGAGTGAGGGCAAGCTTCAGGCCAGGGTCGAGGGCCTCTCTGTAGGTTGTATTCTGCTTGGTGATCCTCGGACCCATTCTGGTTAGCAGCTCGTCGAACATCTCGGGGGGCATCCGCATGAAGTTCTTGAAGGCTGCCTGGTCTTTGTTACGGAGTTCAACAAGTAGCTGGTCATACAGGCCAAACTGTCGTCGCCTACCGATCCACGGTCGGACCCAGAACCTCCGTTGACCTCTTCTCTTTCTCCTTCTCCTGATGAAATGGACTTGGTGAAGTGCCAATTCCATGAGGTTCTGCTGATGTTGGAGAACCGTGATTTCGTATTGTAGTCGCAGCCTGTCGGGATCCTCCATCTTCTGAGGTGGTTCTTCTAGACACCCATGTCATCACCCATGAAGGTCGGAAGAGAAGTGATGATGAGGAGGTGGGGGCGGGACCTGTTTATATACCCCATGGCTACACGTACGCTGCATACACGCTAGCAACACGCTAGAAGAACGCTGGGCGCGCTACAGACTCGTTCAGCACTCGTTCAGCACGCCCATATTCGCTGCATGTTCGCTGAACATGCGTTAGAAGCACGCTAGGTGTGTGCTGTTCGCTGTGTGGTCCAGCGCGCTCTGCACGTGTCTGGCATCCTTCTGGCGTGCACATTCATGCGTCGAGCTCCGCGCACATTTTTGTGCATGCACAAAAACCCCGACGCACACAGCGAATGACAACGAATGCATAGCGTTGGTCCAGCGCGCTCGACAAACGAGTAACGAATGCTGACGCACACCCAGCGAAAGACAACGCACTGGCCAAAATTGCAAATTTTTCAGTGCGCGGGCCGTGCGCCGTGTATGTGTGACTGGGCCATTACGGTTTACAGAAGATGATCTCATTCTCTTGTTTTTGTGTTCCACTACTATACACACATGCATCGCAGCGACGATGAACACAGGCACAGACACACATGTATACAGCAGTAGGGACACGCGCGTCGTATATTACCCCATAGAAGTAGAAGTCGTCTCTATATCCTCATCTCTATTACGGTTTACACAAGATGTATTTTAGTAGTACAGTACACAATCTATTATCCGAAACCCTTGGGACCAGACACGTTTCGGAACTCGGAATTTTTCGAATTTCGGAATGGTAGTACAGAACCCGATATACATACCGTATTTATTGCAACTAGCCAGTACTAAAACTAGTTCTCAAGATGCCAAGTTCTGTACCGGTACAGTACAATATGTATGAGTAATGCCAAACACATTCATATTTCTGCAGTGAACTTTGTGCAGCCAAACGCAAGCTTCGGTGTGCAGACGACCTCCACGACAAAAAACTTTTCATGAATGGGCCTCGGTTTTCGGAGCTTTTCGGTTTTAGAATTTCGGATAATAGATTGTGTACTGTAGTAGTAGTAGTAGTAATAACAGTATATTACCGCGTAGAAGTAGACGTCGGTGTCGACGTGCGCGTTCGGGTCGTATTCCATCTCCATGTCGATGGAGTCTGCGCTCTGCGTGCTCATCGCTCCCGACGGCTGGCGGTTCTGGTTGCTACGCAGCGACGAGTGACGCTGCATCGGGATGCCTCCGCCGCCACCGCGGCTGTTCTCTATCTGCTCTAACATCGTCTCTCCCTCCGTGCCTGCCGTACACACGCAGAGGGTGAAATCACTGCTGCAGCACGGATGTTATAACGAAGGGCCTTCATCGCACAATCAGCAAGCGGCCTCTAGTGGCTGCATCATGTTTCTGCGGCTCATTTGCACTGGAACTTGTAGGGTAACCTGTATCATCACCTAGCAGGATTTTTGACTGGCCATTGTATATAATTAGTCGGAAAATTACCTACATTACACATTAATTTTATTTCCTCATTAGATTGGCATTAATTATGCTTACGCATGTATTCGTGAATGAACCGACTGATGCAAACCTGTGACGCTGATCGATGGCATAGCAGGAGCCGCCATGTCTGATGGCATCAGTAGGTTCATCTTCTTGCTTGGCTGCGCGGGGGGCGTCTTCCCCCCAGAATCGCCCTTTGTCACGCTGAGAGACTTCAAAAACTTGAACGGTTTGCTCGATTTCTGCTGTCCATGGACCGGTTTGGCTGTTGCACCTCCCTTACTGTGGCCACCCTGCAAACAAACGAGGCACGTTTAGGTAACTTGGTTACAATTTTACGTATATGCGTAAAGAATTATTAGAAGGACACTGTAACAACTGTGTCATTACTATATACAAAGCAAATGACATAAGTATAATAGAGAATGTCATGGATAAATATATTTTTACATTAGTTTTTTAAAACATTGTTAGTCCAAGAGAGGAAGTGGGTAGCTCTGCAAACTACAGAGCAAACCTGCTTACCTACAGAGCTAACAACTCTCAGAGAACACTCTCATCCCCCCTCCCGTAACTACATAACTAACAACTATAGCACGCTCTCACCCCCCTCCCGTAACTACATAACTAACAACTATAGCACGCTCTCACCCCCCCGTTAGTTATGTAGTTACGGGAGCTATAGTTGTTAGTTATGTAGTTACGGGAGGGGGGTGAGAGCGCACTATAGTTGTTAGTTATGTAGTTACGGGAGGGGGGTGAGAGCGTCCCAACGTCTTAATAAAAATAACGAACAAAATACGCTAACAAAACGTTGCGACCTCAATCGGGCGGTCGGGTGTCCGGCTGCATTCACGCGTAACCATGCCTAACCGTGTGCGTGATTTCCCCGCGCAGCGCTGCGCAAGGGCGCGTCGCAGCAGCAGCAGCAGCAGCAGCAGCATCAGGAGCCGGACAGCAGGCGGCGCTCGTGGTTCAACAAGAAAGCGCAGTCGTTCGACGAGAACGCGTCGAGCGAGCCGACGACATCGTTGACCGCGTCGACGCGCCGCGCATCGACGAGCGTCGAGGTCATCTCCCCGGACAAGAACGTCAGCAACCAGCTAAAGCTGTCCGGCGTGCTCAACCTCATGAAGGGGGTAAGTGCTGCGTGCGGGAGGGGGACCGAGCGCGCTATAGTTGTTAGTTATGAGGTTAGGGAAGGTGGACGGAGCGCATACTATATTATCAGTATCATAGTTAATACTATATATACTATAATAGTATCATACTATTATAGTATATTAGTGTCAGGAGTTAATACAGACAAATGTGTCTTTATTAACTCCTGCTTAGTATCAATATTTATCTATATTATACACTCCCGTTATTATCATATTATATTATAGCGTTAGGATATGGGATACTTTATTATCATATTATTTTATAGGTATGACTTGTTGGCAGTGCTGCAAAAATTTATATATATTTCGCAGAGAACTATTATGAAGTGAATTGAGTGAATCCCTTGCAAAGACTTTGCATCCACACTGTATAGCAGCAGCCCGGGGACTATATGATTAGGAAATCTCAGAAGAATATTTCTCCGCTTTTTCCACGCTAGCTGCTCTGAGTGAATCAGGTGTTTCACTCAGTTTCACACATCCGTTCACATCCCTTCCATATGAACACATCCAACCACGGTGATTTGTGGTAGTCCAATAATGGTACAATAAACTGACATCTTATATATATATATATATTTTAAAAAAGAATAATGCGACATTCTGTTATACACTAGCGCTTTAATTTTTATAGAATCTTCAGGTGCATGAAGATTCAATAATGATGAAAGCGCTAGTGTATAACAGAATGTTGGATTATTCTTTTTTCAATGTCTCCTGAATATCGTGAAACCCAAATATATATATATATATAAAGAGAGAGCGAGAGAGAGAGAGAAGCAAATCCCCACATCCATCAATTCGAGTAATCCGTTTTACGTAATAAAATACCAAAGAACAGCATTGAGCAAAAGACGGGGTGCCTAGACGTACGTATATATATATACGTAGCGGGTCTGCGTGAACGCGCACACGTGATCAGTGTGAAGCAAGGTGCTGGAGTGTGCAGGCACTGAGGGCGCCACCATCACGAGATCGTCTGCTAAGATTTGCAACAACCACATGCAGTTATTACGCGTGCACCGGTGCAGCCGCTATAGTATGACTTTCCTAGTTTGTTCTTATCATCCATATATTTTGTCATCAGATAATCGCCTTTCAAGAATTTTGTAGCCTAGCAAACTTCGTAAATGACTAAAATCGCGTCCGATAACACCTAAACTACCTCGTTGTAAAAATTACCATCTATTGCCAACTTCAAAACGAAAGCCACCAACTATTTTGTTACAGCGTATGCATATTCTGCTGGCACTGTTGTACTTCTGCTGTAGATGCCTAGCCGAATTTCACCTTAGAGTTTTTAAACTCTCTGTGTGGCTGCCATGATAACGTCACTCTCCTTGGCTGAGTGAAGTATCGTATATCGCATATCTGTACATATACCATACATAGCACATAGTTCCAACGCATCACATCAATATAGAGTAAAATTATATGAATCACCAACTCTCCCTACCTGCATAACGCAAATTACAGTTGTTACCACTAACTACAGGGATATATAATATAGGAACCACTTTGTATATGCTTTAACACACAAACACACGGGTGAGTGCAGGAGCTCGTGCTAATCTTGCGTCATCCCACACAAAGAAATAGACGCAGGAAATCGGTTTATAGCAGCTTTAAGAGATATGCACAGCAAAAAGTGTTCATGTATTATAAGTTATTAAAAAATAGGCATTTCACGATTAGAGCGGTGGGTGCATAGGGATGAATTAATTCTGAAATTAATCGGAATCTATCCGACCTTAAATACGTACACGCACTTTTGGTCAAATTGTTCAGCAGTAGCCAATGCAGGGAAAACATCTAGTGATTACGGAACAAAACTAGGGATATATAAAAACGGGAACTAAAATGCGCGCGTAGCTAGCGTACACGGCGTTGAAAGCATTCATAGCTTCGTGACTAGTCAACCTGAAGGACAGCCATGGAGGAACTTCACATACCCACCCGTTCACGTGACTGACACATTTCCCATCCTAAATGCATCAACTAGCTAACAGTGGAATCCATAGTGACATCACTGCCAGATTTTGAGACGATCAGATCGTAGCTTCGCCATACGATGTAACTCATTCGTGTGACATTACTATGAGGCACGCCAAGTTAAAAAAAAAAACAAGCTCAGGTGGCTTTCCACGACGCTGTGGTGCTCACTCCCTTACAACATCGCGGCATACGCATGCCATTTGCTGCGAGCATTTCCTCAGCGTGTATAAAAGAGAAAAAAGGAAATCTCTACATAACATAATCATCTTCACTGAATTCTCGACAGGGTCCTACCATTAGATACGAAGTTCGTGATATTGGCATGCGCACGACAAAGCGTCAAGAATAAAAATGAATTCCTACAACCCTGCTCTGATGCTAGCTCGCATGTCTCATACACACGATAGTCAGTCACTGCAGAATTGACGACAAAAATATGCACGCGTGTGTCCACTCGAACCAACCACCGAACGAAACATTCCACACTTGCATGAGAATACACCAGAGAACATAGAAACACCATGTCCCATTATAATATCACTTTGTCGCATACCTAAAAATCGAAAACTACTCGAGCAGAGCAATTACAAGACCATTGCCTTTCGCGCATAAAATATCATGCTCTCTTTGCCATGGGTTCTCTCGCAAGAAGGCACCACGTACATACACAAAATACACAAGCTGGGATGGGGGAAAATGTTAGATATGTGCCGTGTATGTAGAGGCGGCGTCTCGTAAGCATTGGTCTGCTTATAGGACAGGCAGCATACTGCATATACTACATATCGTTAGCTGCGACGACGGATGCAGAGTCAGGCAGCGTGTCGGGATAGGTGATGGGGGAAATCTAAATGCACACTTACTCTTTCCTTTTTTGCCGTGTTTTGTACTTTCTGCCACTGTGGGCACTACATGCACGTCTGAACAAAAATAAGATTTACATGAAAAAAAACGAGCGTTCAACTTCGTTCTAAATGCTGACCTCAGGTGAGGTTTTCGATTTGCTATTATCATTTCTCTCATGCCTGCTTATTTCCTCAGAGTGATCTATTCTAAGATAAAAACCAATAAAATATAGAGTGCAGCTATTTTTTGCAACAATATGCCCCCATGTAACCATACATATATACAAGTAACAAATCAATATAATTCATTATCAACACACTTGCTTACATACATTTTTAAGCATATATCCTAATTTCCTATCCCAATTCTCATTGGTTAAGGTAACAACAACTTATGAACTTTTACCTGAGGGTCTGATGGTAGGCACAGCGATGGAGATATCCCCCGGTTCACTGTCTGGTGATGTCATCCTGTAAATAAAGCACACAACAACAATTAGTGCGTAGACCAAACGGACGTAGTAATGCCAGAACCATTTGCCACAAGCAAACGCAAAAAGCATCTAAAACGTCTACCACAGAACCTGTTCATAGGTGTTCTATGGCTTGGAAAAGGTGTGTAAAAATGTCACCGTGTTGTATAAATGCTAAATTGAACAAAATTACAATGAAAATTTAAATTATTATTAGTGTTCCCGAATATCCATCACTGTAAAATATAATATCATAATTCATTTTGTCATTAGTTTTCGAGAAACTACAATATATGTGTAAAAAACAATGGTTTTTTCATTTGGATGAAACTGAAAATGTCTAGGTTTTATATTTTTTAATTACTTAAAAGTTATATTATTTAGTTTATGTTGATTTAACTTTTGCAACACAAAGTTACAATTTACAATACCCAGCGACAAAGCATCTAGAATAACCACAATGGAAACAGGTGCAATGGCATCAGGTACTGACCCAACGTTGGTGAAGATGGGTTGGCACTGTACTGGCACACTCAAACGCAAGAACTCCATCTTCGACTTGCCCTCCAGTGAGCCATAGGTCTTGTGAGCAACGTGCATGATGGGTGGCGTGTCACTTCTGTGGAAGAGAGAGTCCGATATTTAACAGACATGTTGAAAATAAGTACTATTTGCATAGACTGTTGCCAATAATCCAAGCACTGTACACCCAGCATATCCAAACACTGCACACTGTGCACCTGAAATCGTGCTATGTTTTGGAGTCAGGCAACGTTTTACCACCTGATACAAACTGATACATGTAAAACAATAAAAAATACCACGCAATCCTTAGAAGAATGAATTAATGTAAACTACCCAGGAGTGTAACTTGCAATTCTATAAAAATAATAGTAAGTACTGAAGAAAAACAATAATAGGCTTTTCAATTCTAATAAAAAATACATTTGAAAAATAGCAAATACGTCAAAAGCATAATAAATGCAAATACACAACATCCAAATACGATATAAACTCAACACTGTGACTCACCCGGGTGGAATTCGCGTTATTTCAATCATCGTGTCAAGTTCGTTGATGGTCTGGAACAGGCCGAGCTCCTTGTTGTACCACATGATAATGTTGTTGGTCATGTTGCTGCAAGGACAACATCAACAACTTTAGGTGCGGTCTAGTATGCCACATGAACTGTTTTAAATAGCATGTAATCACATATATGTATCACATAACCTCATATCAGGTCAGGTTGGGTAGGTGGGAACAAGGGATGAATAACAACTAACACTTGTGTACAATACTGCTCTTCAACCCGGTAAATGCCAATCGAAATTAATGATATCAAATTACTGTACTGCAATCAATAACATTTTATGTAACGTTTTACCTATTGCTGACTTACTGTATTTGACCGTGAATGATTCTAACACACAAACCACAGTGCAACGAAACTTTACTAATACATTCCTATGGCCATCATCAGCTAAATAATAGCCTAGGTTTATCTAGGGCATGTGAACTCTAGTAAATCTCATTATTGAGAAGGTTAACAAAAGGATTTGGCACAAATTCGCCAGTACAACCTCACTGCTAAGCGTTGAAAATTTTATTTCACTGCCAAATCCAGAATGAGGAAACAGGTTGTATGGGATTGAACTTACACACAGAATGGCTCGTATCCCTCCTGCAGGCCACACTGTGTGAAGAACTTCAACGTGTTCACATCCTGCCCCATGTTGAGCTTGCAAAGCTGTCCAGCACCAATGCTGAACGCTGGCACAAAACCTGGAGTACACACGCACACACACACATATGAAACTAGACAGAGTGTACTCACGGAGAGTGCATACCTCCGCCAGCGACATACGCCATACGCCATACGACTCACGAACACACGAATAAGCCACGATATATGCCAGCGTACTGACATGTACACACTGGCTTGCTGGCTTGCTGCTCGCTCGCTCGTAGCAGCCGCTCGTTGCTGCTGCTCGCTCACATGTACATGCTCGCTGGCTCGCTGGCTGATGCGCTAATATCGATCGCGCTAACACACGAACACACGCACACGAGAGCAAAAACATAACCTCCTCCAACTCCGTTGGGTACAGGTAATAAGTTATATTATAAGTATGTGCGTGTACGTTACAGAGTGACTACGTGGTATCGACATGCACTTTTTCACGCAAAACTTTTGCCAAGACGGAATCATGTTTTTTGTCGAATTGTTATCAAGTGTCTTCGCATGTATACTGAAATCGGACTGGTTCAGTTTACTTAATTTTCTTCAAATTCAGTTAACGGCAAAGTGTCAGTGATTTATGGGCTTATACTAGGTTCTAGGGCTGTAACGATCCACCGAAATCGATTCGGATCGAGATTCTCTTCCCTCGATCCGATCCTCGATATTTTTCCCCGTATTTTTGATTCCACTTCGATACCACTTTTTTCCTCCAATAGATGGTTACTCAGTGACTGTGCAGTGTATATATACTCTCTAGACTCTCTAGTCTATTCACCATTTAGTATTCATTGGCAATTTCTAATAATTTATTATTGCAAAATAATGAAAATATAAAAAATAAGATAACATTTCAATATTTTGGGAATCGAATCAAAGGAATCGAATCGAGAGGCTAATATCGAGAACCAGATCGAATCGAGAGGCTTGTGTATCATTACAGCCCTACTAGGTTCTGCTACGTTTCCATGCTTACCAGCTTCTGGGATTTCGATATTAGAGAAGGCAGTCTCAGAGCCGCTGGAGTCCATCATGAGCTCACCGTTCAAGCTGAAACCTAAGAAATCAAGGTGAAAATCATGACAAATTATATTTACCCCCAACTAGCTACAGATAGAACTAGAAGAGTGATTCCACATACAACATAAGAAGCTAGAATCACAAATGTACACGGTTTATAGCTATCAAACATACAGGCTATACCACTTCAAACCAAGTGTATGGAGTAAAAATAGCTACTTACTGACAGTGCTGTCATGTAGATCTAGGAAAACTCCGATGACGTCCCCCACAGTCCACTTCTTGCCATATGGGTCACGCCCTTGGTGCCACTTGTTAGGCTGAATTAAAGAAACATTTTGTTTTAATCAGCAGCACCTTGCATAAGAGGAGTACGTGTCAAGGCACTGACAGCCCATGCGAATGGGGGATTAGGCATAATTAATTGCGGAAGATTTTTTTTCAAATAGCATGACTTTGCATGACTTGCAGCACTCCCAGTTGCACACTCCCTGGACGTTATTCCCCACGGACTGTCCAGTATAAAAGTAGAAGTACATAAGAAGTACATAAGAAGTCATGGCAGTGATGCTCCATGTGACACCTAAATCTGACTGATAAAGAATTACCCATAGAACAGTCAAGATTTTAGCACAGCCTACACGTACGCTTATACCACTGTGACAGCGTAGACTAGTCACGTGTCTAATAGATTGTTGTTGACTACCAGGAATCATTGCGAGGCTATAGTCTCGGTCTGCTATCTGCAATACTCCTTTCTTTAATGATATCTGGTGATTTACCAGGGACCATTACGAGACTATAGTCTCGGTCTGCTATCTACAATACTCCATTCTTTAATGATATCTGGTAATTTACCAGGGACCATTGTGAGGTTCTAGTCTCGGTCTGCTATCTACAATACTCCTTTTGTTAATGATATCTGGTAATTTACCAGGGACCACTGTGAGGTTATAGTTTCGGTCTGCTATCTACAATACTCCTTTCTTTAATGATATCTGGTAATTTACCAGGGACCATTGTGAGGTTATAGTCTCGGTCTGCTATCTATACAATACTCCTTTCTTTAATGATATCTAGTGATTTACCAGGAACCAATGCGAGGTTATAGTCTCGGTCTTCTATGTACAATACATCTTTCATTAATGCTATCTGGTGAGCATACAATGGATGCTACAAATATCCAGCGTGCATTGCACTTGCAAGTATGCAGGTGACAGCATACGTGTAGCAGATCAGAGGCTGTAGGCAACAGGTTTCGCATCAACGAGTTTCAAGATCCAGCTAACAGTTATATGGCATAGAGACTGCAGCGCATCTATGGGAGTAAACTTACGAAAAAGCCGTCAAAGCCGTAGGAGAACTCGTCGTTGCCGATGGTCTTGTTGGGGGCATGGTCAGCGCTCACCCAGCCAAGCTTCATGAAACCAGTCGTCAGCACTTCGAACTCGTAGTACCTATACGACGCACACGTTGCAAACATACGTAAATCATCAAGGAAGCCATGCATTATATTATCAGCAGTGAATAACAATAGATTCTATCTATATAATCTATAATTTAATCTATAATTTATATAATTTATTATTATTCACTCCTGATATTATAGTATCTATATATATATATTTATAGTACATATATTTATATCAAGAGTACATAATCTCCTATTATGTACTCTTGATATATATGTACATATAGATTACACAAATTCAGCACATAGCATGCTATTTTTGTCAGTTGGACTAACAAAGATGGTAACGGTAACAGAGAAATCCTATTTGAAGAATTAAAATACAGTCAACTCTGTACAAAATATGGATTCATGTATGAACCACACGACATACAACTTCAGCCCCTAAGATTGGCTAGGTTGAAGTAAATTTGCAAAAGCAAAACGCATAATTTACCACTTTCCAGACATGACAGCGTACGTCTTCTGCCCCCTGTATGTTATCACAGCAGAGGTAATCTCCTCTATGTTCTGGCTTGACATGCCTAAGCACACAAATACGAGCATCATGACACACAACAGAACATATACAACACTTCACTAATTCATTTCCTTGACTTGACACGATTAACCTCACCATGTACTACACAGTTAAGTACAAACCTAAGCCGAGCAGCTTGGGTGCAATGGGGCACCTTGTTATCAAAGTGAAAAGAGCCAGATTTGTATGTGATCCAAGCATATTTACGAGCAAAGATTAACAATAAAACACAAGCAAAAAATGTACAAATTATTGCAATATGCATACATAAAGGGCATGACAGACATCGAAGTGTAAATAATACCAATACATGTGGCATAATCAGTTAACTGAGAGATAAACTACGGGCATCTAAGAATATAGGAGATAAGAGCTAGACTCTTTTGTGAAATCAGAAGGGTTACCGCTATCAGCAACGTCAGGAGGTGAGTCCAAACCATAGCCATAGGCCATCAGTGTTCTGACAGTCTCAGATGCTGTGTCCCTATAAAATTTTGGTAAATATAAATAGCACTTGTGCATTATATACTTCACACATTTTATGGGATCATCTCGCATCATTCCGTTTTCAAAGGTTTCACGATCACATACATTTTAAACAAATCGATAATTTTGTATTTTGACTGCCTGATATCCGCCATGTCGATGAAGTACTGACTGAGATTGATTACTTATATATAGTCACTTAAATAACAATAAAAATTCTGCACATAAATAAATCGGAAATATTGCCACTGTGCTATGATCACTACACATATGATTGTGAGCGATTGCATGTATCAGGCTACTTCCAATGTACCTGTTCTTTTTCTTGATGCTGTCATCGACCTTGTCATAAGGCACTAGATGGGGGCTTCTCTTCATTGTGTGGTCCTAAAAGTAATACGAATGACATCAACAGTCGGCTACTATACCAGAAATATGCGTGAAATATAGCCACTTATTGCAAGGGCTGTTTAACTGTTTGAAGATGTGCATGACACATGAACACAATGATGACATCAATGCATGACAATCAATGAAGAAGAAGATGTGCATACACACAAGCAAACTTGCTCATATGCCTGATAAATGTTGCGTATCAAAACGGCAAAGGATGCCACAAGGATGCATCGAACATGTGGAAGAATCCTACAATGATGTTGCAGTGGTATCAATAATGCATGATGTGAGCAATATCATGGATGCTACGGGGATGCTGACAAGTGTGACCAAGGGTTTGAGTGGGATCAAAGACCGTACAATGATGCTAGGAGCTGGACCCAGGATGCTGCAACCAAGAACAAGTATGCTACAAGGATGCTGTGACTTGGACCTGGTGGACAAGCACAAGGACTTGGTGTTATGTGTGCTACAAAGATGCATAAAAAATGTTACACGGATGATGTGATTGGTACCAAAACCATTGAAACAATTTTAGCACAACCAACGCTTCATCAGATTTTTTCTCCATGAAAAAGACTGTCTTCAGTACATGTATTTGTATTTGAATTACATGCAATAAAGATTTAATAATAATAATAACAATAATAATAATGATGCTACGTGGATGCGTACCTCCGACAGACCGTAGGTCCACTGCATCTGGATGTGATCGCGAGCCCACACGTTGTGTGTGTTATCAGCTAGCAGATCCACCAGCTTCTCCATCTTCTCATTGAGCGGGATGTCTCTCATGTCGAGTGGCGTCGGCTTGTAGCCGTTGGCCATCAGGAAGCTGAACGCCAATTAAGGTCAATTAGATGAACAGTTGCAGAAAAACAATCATTCATTGTATTTGTCATCTCTGAAAGATGGGTTTACAGGGAGATTCACTAAGTATGCCTTTATATTATTTCGCTTGTTTTTTACCTGTTTTAAGCAACATTTCCACAATAATTATAATTACTGTGTATATATTAGATATATATATATCAGAAGTAGATAATAGGGAAGGAGTGTGACTTCAATAAACAAGGGAAATTCGTCATTTACTAGCCTTAGAATACCTACGATTTACTACGCGTAACTCAACCAACTTGAGCTCAAATCGTACACAGTACATTCGCCTAGCATCGTGCAAAATTGTTTCCTCGTATACAGCCGCAATCCGGAGATACAGACTAAAACCTGAAAAACTTGAAACAATAGGCAGCTACTAACGACTCTTTGCGCACTCTTGTGCCCACGGCGATGTGGTGTGGCTCGCTGGGAGATTGGGCATCGACGCAACACTCGGCGAGCTAATTTTTGACCCATTTACAGCTGGTATGCCCCCCACGCACGCACGCCCACTGCAATCAGCAGCAGCTCCAGCTCCAATCTCCCAGCGAGCCACACCGCATCGCCGAGGGCGCAAGAGTGCGCAAGAGTCGTTAGTAGCTGCCTATTGTTTCAAGTTAGGCAGGTTATGGAGTCGATTTGCTGCCAACAGAATGGAGAATCGTGTCGTACGTTTTTGTCTGTATCTCCGGATTGCGGGTGTATATGAGGAAACAATTTCGCACAATGCTAGGCGAATGTACTGTGTACGATTTGAGCTCAAGTTGGTTGAGTTACGCGTAGTAAATCGTAGGTATTCTAAGGCTAGTAAATGACGAATTTCCCTTGTTTATTGAAGTCACACTCCTTCCCTATTATCTACTTCTGATATATATATA